ATATTTAAATTAATTTTATAACCGGAACCCTTATTTAAATTAATTTAAAAACTATAACCGATACTTTTACTTGACAAATATTTTTCCATAAGTAAATAACCAAATCAGGTATTAATTTTTTAATTTTTTAAGAACCGAAAAAAAACCGAACTTAAATGTTACTTTTTCAGGGAACCGAACCGGAACCGGAACCTACATTTTAGTTTTTCTAGAAACCGAATAGGAACCGAAACTTTAGTTTTACTGTGAATCGAATAGGAACTGGAACCTTAAAAAACATCAATGTTCCAGTCCATTGACTAGGTAGTAGGTACCTCTAAAACGTTGGGTGCTTTAATATTTCATATTTTAAAAACATAAGTTTGATGGTATTTCACCATAATAATGATAGTTAAACCTAAAAAAAGTACCTACCCACGAATTATATTTTTTAAATATAACAAAATTAAAATCATTTTTCTTCGTTTGAATATCTAATTTCGTTCAAATTTGAACATAAAATATAACTATAAAAAAAGGTGGGCAAGGGGATGTCGCTCTGCTGTACAGTAGGTTACAAGTGGGTCACTGTATAATGGATGGTATCAAATTTGAATTCAATGATATATTATCATCGTATAAGAAAAACTATTCTGAGCGGTGATGGTATGTCAATCTGGTACAAGACATATTATATACTTATCTATGGTATAAAAAAAAATTGTACCTATAACAAATTCTAAATTAATCATATCACAATGTCCATTAGGTACTTATAAGTTATCAACAACAAACCGTGATACTATCATAGGTATATAATAGTAAACTTTAGAAGTTTCCATATTTTGTCAAGATTTGAACTTTAAATGCTTATAAAAAAAAATGTGCCTAACCTAGTAGGAGCCTTGTATTCAATGTTCAAGTATTTTTACTCAACAAATAAAGTTTTATTGACATTCATAGAAAAAAAAACGAATAAAATTGGATACCTACTGAAAATGTGCTTACACAGTTCAAAACAAATCAAAATATTTTGAAAATGTTACCATCTATAGAAAATGCAAATATAAACAACCAGTGAAAATTTCATGTATCTACGGTTATATTTTTTAAAGTTACACCAAAAACCAAAGTCGATTTTGAGTAAAAATTCCCGTTTTCCTTAATTTTTATTTTGTTTTTCTTGGCGCGTTTGAAAACTATTGGGAATTTTAAAATTTGACCTACTCAACGCACTAACATTATGCACTTTCCAATCGAACAAGATACTGAAGTTGAAAATCGAAGCTATATTTCGACTACTTATCATTTACACAGACACACAAAAAAAAAAAAAAAACACACGCATCATTGTAAAATCAATACATTCATCGTTCCATTTGTTGGTTAAAAAAGCTTGAAAATTTAATACAAGGCTCCTACTATATTGTTACAATGGCAATTGAAAAATATTAAAAATCCTTAGTCACAGTTTTTTTTATAAGCATTTAAAGTTCAAAAATTGACAAAATATGGAAAAATCACGAAAATTAGCAAATTATTTTGAGTTAAGAGGACGCCACACCCGCATGTGTTGTCTCGTCTTACAAATGTACAACATAGCAAAAACTCTTTTGCGAGGGACAACTTTTCTCGCACCATTTAATATGTTGTAGAACTACCAAATTTTCACAGCACTTAAAGAAGAACTTTATCTGTGCAACAGCGTGCTCTTTTTTTCAATAGCATCATCCAATCATTTTTTATAAGCAAATTAAAAAACCAAATGTTTAGAAGCAAATAACTTGTATTGTATATATGTTATTGAAAAAAAGAGCTGTTGCACAGATAAAGTTCTTCTTTAAGTGTTGTGAAAATTTGATAGTTCTACAACAAATATGGTGCGAGAAAAGTTGTCCCTCGCAAAAGAGTTTTTGCTATGTTGTACATTTGTAAGACGGAGACAACACATGCGGGTGTGGCGTCCTCTTAAGAGTTCGTAAAAATTTTTCTTTTTAAATCTAAGGTTTTAAAATGTAATACAAGATTATAAGATAATATAATATAAGATTATCTATCTTCATCAAAAAAAAAATGTCTATAAGAAAGTCAAATTAAATTTTTACGAGCGTTTAAAATTCAAATATTTACAACATTGGATATTCACTCGATTTCTCATGTAGCGATTTCCTTATTTTGTTGTAATTCAAAAACGAATAACTGTAGATACATGAAAATTTCACTGAATATTTATATTAGCATTTCCTATACACCATACAATTTTGAAAATATTTTGACTTTTATATAATACAAGGCACCTGATGTTTTGTTACAATATCGGTTGAAAAATATTAAAAATACATAGCCACAATTTTTTTTATAAGCATTTAAAGATTGAATTTTGACAAAATGTATTAAATTTAAAATTGAATAATTATTTTTTAGTTAAAAATGTATAAAATGTTCAACTTTTATATCTAAGGATTGAAAATTTAAAACAAGATTCCACGTAAGTAGTTTATTCTGTTACCAAAAATTATAAAAAATACATACGCACTGTTTATTTTTATAGTCACTTTAAGTTCAAATTTGGATGAAATTACATTAAAAAAACCTAGAATAACTATTTTAGTTATTTTGTTGTGATTGTATAATATTATTCGTGAGTACTTGAAACTTCTAAAGTACACTATTATACACTAGTATATCTATAGAGTATGGACTATGATAGTATCAGGGTTTGTTGTTGACGTAGAACGCATTATAAGTACCTAATGGATATTGTGATATGATTAATTTGGAATTTATTATAGGTAAATTTTTTTTTATACGATAGATAAGTATATAATATGTCTTATACCTAGACTGTCATACCGTGTCCGCTTAGAATCGTTTTTCTTATACAATGATATTATATCATTGAATTCAAATTGAATACATTTGTATTGTATCCATTTTACAGTGACCCACTTGTAACCTACTGTACAGCAGAGCCCTTTTTTTCTATAAATATCAATAAAATTGTATTTGTTGGTTAAAAAATGCTTAAAAATTTAATAGAAGGCTCCTAATAGATTGTTTCAAAGAAAGATAAAAAATATTAAAAATCCATACTCACAATTTTTTTTATAAGCATTTAAAGTTCAAATATTGATAAAATACGTAAAAATTACGAAAATTTCCAACTTATTTTGAGTTAGAAATTCATAAAAAATTTTCTTTTTATATCTAAGATTTGAAAAAGTAATTCAAGATTTCTCGTACATTTGTTTACCTTCATCAAAAAAAGAACGTCTACAAGAAAGTCAAATTAAGCTTTTGAAATTCATATTATTGTTACAATATTTGATATTCACTGGATTTCTCATGTAACGATTTTCTTATTTTGTTGTAATTAAAAAATGAATGACTGTAGATACTTGAAAATTTCACCGAATGTTTATATTAGCATTTACTATACACGATAACATTTTGAAAATAATTTGACACTTTTTAAGTTGTTTACGGATATTGTCAGTTATCAATTTTTTTAGTTTTTTCTTTTTATAAATATGAATAAAATTTTAGATGTTGGGTAAAAAAGCTTGAAAATTTAATGCAAGGCTCCTGATATATTGTTACAATAGCAGTTGCAAAATATTAAAAATACATAGGCAAAATTTTTTTTTATAAGCATTTAAAGGTTTTGTTAAGATTTTGGACTTTAAGATCGATATGGAGATTTTTATTGGTTAAGTACCAGGGTTCAGATGAAACCAGTTGAGGGTATATTGACTGAAAGACTTGGATTGTACGGGTGTAAGAAGGTTTGGCGGCACCCTTGGTGCAACTTCTAATTGTTTTGTTTCATGGTGAAAGTTTGGAAATGCAAATCCTAAAAATTTGACTTCAAATATGTGAAAATAACTTGCAAAATAATGGCATGGATTTTTAAAAAAAAATGCGGTACTTAGATTTGTCAAATTCATGAACGTCGTTTCCCCTGCCCCACCAAGAGTTTTTTAATTTTAGCGGGCGCGGTGTTTGAGCAGGAATTCCGGGAGTAGTAGCAGGAATCGACAGGAATTGAGCACTAAATATTGGAGTTGTAAATAGTTGAAAAATCAATTCCTGACCATGGGTGGAAGCCAGAGAAACCTTTACCCATCGCACCCAAATTTTTTTGATTTTTGAGGGGGTGGTATTTGAGCAGGAATTCCGGGAGTGGTGGTAGGAATTGGCAAGAATGAAACACTAAATATTTGCGTTGGAAAAAATTTAAAAATTTAAATGGATGGGGAAATGTACTTTGAAATAGTTTACTTCCCGCCTTGCCACACTGCAATATAATATTTAAATCAATAACCTTTATTACCAACCTATTATTGAGCTGCAAAACATTCATCCTTCGAATTTGAAATGTTTGCCAACCACTGATTCACTGACACACTGAACGTCCGAACAGTCTTCATATTGAAGTGCTACCGTTTTTAATCATTAAAATATGTAGTTAACTAAGTCTACTATAATATATCAGTACAATATTACCCATATTGCTATATATTATATTATGCTAATTTGTTATAGCAAAATATTTAGCTATAAAACTATAGTAAGTTGTCTGCAGCCTGCAGGTACTTTTACTTTACTTTATTCATGATCAAAGGTGTTTGGTAATAAGAAATAAAAAAAAACGACAAATAATATTTTGTATTTTATTATTTTATATAAATTAATTTTAGCAATTAACAATACATTGTTGCTTAAAATATAAATATAGTGAGTAGATAAATAGGTATATAAATTTCATATTACTAAATATTTACTCATTGAAATAAATAAACCGAGAACTGAATTGAATTTTGAAATTTTTAATTGAAACTACAGTATATTTACTAGCAATTACAAATATTTGTAGTTTCCTTTGTGCATAATGCATTCAAGTACCAACATTTGATAAACAAATTGTATGAGGTCTAAAATTTAAATTAATGTAGGTACATAATATAATAAATATTTTAACTTTTAAGTAATTCAATTTAATAATTTATAATCAAAGTAAATTAAACTGAATTGATTTTTGAACTAAAAGCATCTCGCCAATAATCTGCCGATTTCTGAGGCACAATCCTGAAAAAAATAATTAAGTAATTTTTAATATTTAGTAATTTTATAGAAATCATATTTAGGTACCTAGTATGTGGTACAATATAAAACTCGCAATATGTTAAGTTATTTAATTACTTATAGACTACAGGTTACAATAAACATTTTATCAAATGTAATTTATGACGATAGGTGTATTAAAAAAATTAAAAATGGATTGCCTAATGTTAATTAATTTTCTTTAGTTTTCAACAAATAATATAATTTATAGATTAAGACAACGTATAAGTAGCCAATATTTATTAAACTTTACTTTCTATTAACATTTATACTTTTTTGATTGAAAAATCCATTGACGACTGATGAAGAACTTACAATTTTAAGATGTTTAATTTTATCCAATACTTTGAGACTTTTTAACTTTTATAGTTTTACGAAGCCTTTCTAATAATCGTAAATGGAATAAAAATAGAAGGCTATTCATCCAAGTATGACAAAGTGTTAAATTTTTAGGTTCGGTAATTTGTAGTTTTTGAGAAAATGTAAAAAAGTTAAACATTGCACTGTATAGGTACCTATACGAATTGATTACCTTCCTAGGTACCTTTTACTTTGCTGAGTACCACATTCATTAGGTAACTAAAATGTAATTTTTAATTTTTGTACCAATCTACTGACATATAATAATATTATTATCCTAGGCCCAGGGCCCTAATCTGTAGTTGCGTACTCCCTTACGTAACCATTTAGCAAGTTAACTGCCATTGGTGCCATATTTAAACTTACCTGTTTTGGTACTAATTTTTTAAAATATAAATTACGTCCCTGAGCATCATTATTAGTATTGAATCAATTGACAAAATTAGATTAAATTAAAATAAAACTAAAACCGCCCGCAAGGGCATCTACAAGAATTTGTCAAGGGAGGGAAAAATATTTTCTTTTAAATTTTTCTCCTCACTATCCTATAAATTATAAAGTATTTTTGTGACATGTTTTCTTTTATATAGACAAGGAATGTAAAAATATTTATGAATTATACGTAGATAGTTCGTTAAAACTTAATCTGTAATTTTGAATGATCAAATACATTTTTTTTAAATAAATAACATTTTACGGTTGATTTTATAATTCTAGGTAATTTAGAAAATTAAATATTTTTAGGTTATTCAGTCATTGATACCACAAACTTGAAAAGTTGTAACTATTTTAAGTATGCCATCTATGAACATTTAATTTTTTTATCAAAAAAGTAAGAATCGCACTGGCCCCATCACTAGGTATTTCTCATAATCTATAAAAGCAACGTTCTTAGTTCTGACGTTCATAATCGAGCGTAATAAAAATCACTCTATAACAAAAAAATAATAATATTTTTAATTTAAAAAAGTTTATTTCACGATATTTTAAATTACAACTGTAATGATTTGGAGCATTTTGAAGTTTTTTTTAAATTTGCACATGTTTTTACATGATTTTTATAATAAATATATGATCTAAAGTATAAACGTATATGGGTATAGCAACAAAACAAAATTAACTTTCAGATTAAATAAGTAGGTTGTCCAAATGATAAGTTCTGTCTGTAAGACTGTTATACAATCATTTAAAAGTTTAAAATGAATATTATAATTTATACCAAATTTATTACCACTATTTAGAACTGTTAGGGCATTTTTAAGTTTTTCTAGAACATAAAATCATGAATACGTAATATTTATGATAATCAAGTCAGAAAAATTCAATTTGGGGGCAACTGCCCCTATTCCCCCCCCCCCCGTGGCTTGCGTGGACATCCGTCCAAAAAGACTGTGGTGTACTTGACAAAACCAGAGAGCTATACTCATTTGGTACTTATGGTGTTTGATAACAACCATATTAAAATAGGAGTTTGTAATTTGCACCAAAATTAAAATCGATTATTTTTTCGATAGTTCCAACTTACAATTTTCTGTATTCCAATATAACTTTAGCTTAGTTTTTATTTATAAAATAGCTGAGCTTATACACATATTGTTGTAAGTTTATATAAAATCGTATTAATATTATGAATATAAAAAAATTTAATCAATTAAAATAATTATATTATGTAAAATTAAAAAAAGCTTACTATTTTTTATATTCATAATAATACGATTTTATATAAACTTCCAAAAATATGTGTATAAGCTCAGCTATTTTATAAATAAAAAGTAAGCTAAATTTATATTATTATATAGAGACTTGTAAGTTGGTACTATCGAAATACTATCGAAAAAAATAATCGATTTTAATTTTGGTGCAATATACAAACGAGTTTTAAAAAATGGTTCAAATTACAAATGTTGTATATATTTTGGGTCAACTTTGGTGCAAATTGACTACAGCCTTTAAAATACCGTGGCAGTCAACTTGTTAATACATAATATTTTGTATTATTAATTTCTAAATGTAATTTACTTACCATAGTATTTGCATGATCAGTCTCAATATTTCTGGAACGGTTACAACGACGTCTTCTCTTTTAATTCCTTGAATTGCTGCACTGGCAACTTGAGGAATCGATACGATTGGCAACGCGGATCTTTACGAACAATACAATAAGTTAGCTTCGATTAGAATATTGTTGTACTCATGAAGACTAATATATCAAATACGGGTTAAAACATTAAAGCCCCAAAAAAGAGCCATTAGATGTAAGGGCATAGGACAAGTAATCGAGTATAAAGTAATACTTACAGGACCGTAACAAGAATTTTTTTTGGTGGGGGAACTTAATTTTTTTTCTATAGTTTTTTAAGAATTAGAATACTTAACACATAATGTTACCTAGGTAGTACTTGTTAGTTTATACTTTATATGATACCATAGTTCATAAAATAATTCCCCCCCCTTGATATGGCACTGAATACTTATATAGTTGTATGAATATGGTCTTATATACTATAGTATACATATAGAACTATATAGTACATACAGAACGATATATATTGTATATAGTAAGATTGAGTAATATTTCCAATTCACATAAACAATCAAACTGCAATTTGAGTACTCTGCTGCAGTAGTATATAGTTGGAGGTGTATAAATATAAAATAATATATCATATTTTACTCACTTGACATCCCAGTGTTTAACGTTTATCGGGGCAGAGTCCAAAAAGAACGGATGGACGGTTGTGGTTTTTATGTTGTTCGACGGGTTGGCCCTGAGTTCTTCCCTGAGACTAGCCATCAGACCTGCAGAGACGACAAAAAAAAGTAAATTATATGCACAATAAAATATAACAATACAGAGTAGGATGTCTCCTTAGCTTTGTTGTTTTATATTACTACATATATATATATATATATACATAAATTAAAAAAGCGGGTAAGTGGATGTCGCTCTGCTGTACAGTAGGTTACAAGTGGGTCATTATATAATGGATTGTATTGAACTTGAATTCAATGATATAATATCATTGTACGTATAAGAAAAACGGTTCTGAGCTGAGAATTGTTATTGCTATTGTTATTAGTTATTATATCATGTAAGTCGAATTAGTATTATAATATTACTATTTTTATTCGTTTCCATGGTTATAAACAAAGCGTTAGAAATTAAAATCCATTTTTTAGCGGTTTTTCGTAATTTTTCTGTGGTTTTTACCGTGGCATTAAACTATTGATAAAATCGAAATCTTCTAAAAGATAAGGTACTCTATATGTTGAAATCGAAGAACTCCTTCTGGTAGAAATTTTGAGTACAGGATATAAAAATAAAAATAAAAAAAAATAAACACCATTGTATAACCACTAGCTCCCTCGCTCAGCTCAGAATCTAAAAACCATTAATCGATTCGATCATAAATCCAAAATATGCTCATTTGCAATCATCGCATCATATAAATGTATGGGTGATAGGTAAGTATAGGTTTGTATTTAACTATTTAAGACTTATGATTGACGTCTTACCCGTGACACCGTATTTGGTAGCTGCGTAAGGTACGATGTTGGCCGCACACGTGAACGCGGCCACCGATGACGTGGCAACGATGTGGCCTTCGTTGCGCTTCTTCATGGCCGGCAAAAAGGCGCGTACCATCTGTAAAAAAAAAGGCGAAATACCTATGTTATTGCCTAGTCAAAACGTCCATGCGATGATTTAAACACGAGGCGCATCACTATAACGGAGGAAAGGGGTAGGCATACAGGCTATACAGTTCGAACGATCGAAAGGCAATTATATAGGGCGTGATATACCTAGGCACATCGCACATACGTATGTTATCGGATTCCGTTTGCGTGTCCGACATAGCAAACGTGACGAGAACTAAACTGGACTGCTGCAGGGATAAAATTCGACCTTCTAATGTATTATTCGAAATCACAGTAAAAATTGTGAATTTCAGCTAATAACCAACAGCTCAAAATTTAAAATTTTGAACCAACAATTTTATTAAAATTTACCTACCTAATCATGTTTTATGTAAATTAATTTGATATCATATAAATTTAAAATATTTTATCGTCGAATCATAATTACTATAATGTAATTCTGGATTATATAAATTACAATGGTTTTTGTAGTAGGTACCTAAAACTTTTTTCTGAATTTTTGGTAAATTTTTGGTGTTTTATTTTACAAACTTATAAACTTACAATAAGTTACTATACTTCTCAAGTAACTTAAATACATAACTATTAACTAGGTATACCTATAGGTACCTAGGTATATTATTATTTTTTATACACATGTAATTTTCAAAATATTTATTCTATAATTGTAAGCCATTTAAATTATGAATCCATTCATTTATTCACACCATTCTATGGTACGTCGGTATTTATTCATAAGTTAATAACAATAATATTATAATAAGTATTACATAATATACTTTAACACCTATGTGACGTTTTGGGAAAAAATAAGGCCACCCTACCATGTATTACCTACCTAATGGAAAAAAAGTTATTATTAGTAAGAATAATAAATAAACTATGTAATTTTATATTCTTAGAAATATAGGTTGAAATACAGATTGTCGCTGCTCAGAATCGTTTTTCGTTTGCAATGACTATTATCGATGGGTTAAAATGTACATAGGTAACATAAGCATTGAGCATCCTTCACACTTTACAATGCTACTCAACGACGAGGTACACATGAAATCTACTATTACACACTTAGTTCCCCTGTATGTCTAATTTGTTAGTAATTTATTTTGTTAGCATATACATCCCAACAAAAGTCCTATATACTTACTAATAGTTTTTAATTTATGAATCATTTGTACGTATTATAGTACAGCGTGACTTTATTATTATGGTGCCAGCTGGTAAAACGCGTTGCCGAGATTAATATTCACTCGCACCTACAGTAAAATCATAGGCGGCGCAGGTTGGGGGGAAGCGTATTATTACGAGGGAAGGCTATACCTATTATTCCTAGTCGGCCACACAGATACCAAAACTTTTGCTCGTGCACGTAGCAGGACGTATAGTCGAATCGTTTTGCACCCATAGATATTTTAACGACAGTTGTAAACGCGCGTTTTAATATAATAGGATATAATATATATGTACCTACCCATACATATATATATATGTAACATTTCGTTCCGAAAGTCGTGTCCGAAAGTTATCGCACCGGAGACTCGTGGTTTTATTTTACGACCCCGTATTCAAAATTACGGGAAACCGTATACTTTTATGAGCAATGTCGAGACTTATTTTCCGAGTGTGTTTCGAATGCGACCATTGGGATTTAAATACACCCGGATGATACCTGTATATTATATATAATATATAGTGGTTTTGTTTCTACGGCAATGAGCTCGTAAGCGTTTCCGTTTCGCGAGCTTTTATCATATTCCTGTGGGTACGTTTTTACTGCAGTTGCGGGAGTTTTACATATTATTATTATGTTTTGGACGTCACGTGTTACATCCGAAATGTAAATTTAATGGAACGCCCCATGTATATTTATCGCGTTCCACGTAATGTTCCGAGATAATATGATGTCATTTTTTTTTTTTAAGTATATATACGTCGATTTTCTTTTCTATATACGGGTTTCTATTCGTTCCCGTTACATCCCGTATATATTATAATATGTATGTTTGTATACATAAGCAAAGGTTGAAACTTGCAAGGGTATATGTACCTATGTATAAATATAGATTATACTTTCTGCGTGGTGCAGGTGCTCCTCCTCAAACGTGCTGTTAAACTTTATACGAGCCCGTTAGGATTAAACACTTCCCGGCTACATAATACATATTATATTATTACTACAGTGAAACCTCTCTATAGTGGACACCGTGGGGAATTGAAAAATGTCCGCTATAAGCCGGTGTGTCCGTAAACAGAGGTTTCCCTACATCATTACTAATATTATTATTATTGTATATCAGCAGATAATAAACGCGCTGTGTAGGCGCATTTGACTTTTATATTAAAATATATTTAATTGAATTTGTGAACCAATGACCGTGACTATTTTAATAGCTATTGCCGCTTTTAGAGGCCAAAAATACGAGTTTGTCAATATTGTAGCTGCATATAGGTAGTGTGCGGTATACACCCATGAGCGATGAGACTATAGATACCTATATTATCTGATATAAACTTTCACGTGCTCAAGTAATAAAATCGAAAAAGAAATCTCATCGAATGTGGGCATTAAACATTGCGAATAATTATAATATGATCACACCAGATTTTTTTATACAGATACACGCACGTGGTTTTCAATTTAAAACAATATTGCTAGTCATCTCATGAAAATTAAGTGCGAGTATTACATTAGGTACAACGATTACAAACGCATTTTATAATATAGTGTATGTGCTATTATCGTTTTACAATAACTAGCGATGGGTCATACTATTATTATGATTTATGATACAATATATAGTGTGCGTTAAACGGTGGTCCGTGGACGATTCAACATAATAATATTATTACCATCGTAGAGTTCGTGTTCATTTTGTGGAATACGATTTTCCTAAGGTTACCTATATAATATTTTGAACATGGGGTATTGGTGTTGAGAACATACGTTTACCTATACGTAGACGAAAATTATTGTAACTGTACAGCTATAATACGTAGGTACCAATTTCCTATTTGTTATAGGTTATGAGCTTATATGAGTTTATTATTTTAAATATTGATGACTATAATAGTAGTATACAATAGTTATAGTATATTTAGTTAATATATCCGATTGCGTTTCAAAGAAAAACGTAGGCATATATAGGTAAGTAGGTACTTGAACATTGTTTGGTTTTAAAAGCACCAACAAAAAATGATCAGGGTCATCACGATTGTGGGCAATATAGAATAATGATCCTTTGAACCTGGCTCATCGCACACTATATCACGTAGGTATCTACCCTAATATAAGTAATGACCCATGAAACTATTATAGTTATACGAGCCTATAACTGCATGGACTGACGTATTACACACACACAAACATATTATATATATTCACTGTGCCATTTGTGAAACGGCTCGCGTTAAAACGATTTAATTTAACAGTTTCGTGCGACTCGGCAATAATAATAGTTAAATAATAATAAAATTGTCTTTGGGCACTAATGACAAATATAATTACCGAAGTACCTACCTACCTATCTACGTACTTCCCGTATATATGCTACCAGCTACGTTTTCGACCACGAGTCCACAACGATATTGCATTTAATGTAATTGCTGGCGTTTTCAACGTAATTAATTGTGAATTCTCATTTTTCATTTAATTTTGCACACTCTACCTATACAATTTGTCATTTGTGTCATAATGTGAATACGTTGTGTCGTTGTACTTCGTCATATTATTTGAACGAATGGTTTATTTTTTTAAATAATGTTTATTGATGATAATACCTATCTATATATATATATATATATACAATCTATACTTCTTAAATTTACAATAAGTAAATTTGAGGGATGATATGATATCAAAACAATTTATGATGAACAAAAATATCGAATTTGATTATGGAGATGAAATTTATGTCGAGGGGGGGAGGTCAATTATTTTTATTTTTTATGTGGGTATCACTATAATATTATACGACATTATTTATATTGTTGCAACACTCACCCAAAAGTGTGAAACCAGGTTGACGTCGATCATGCGCTTGATTTGTTCATCAGTAGTGTCCATCAACGGTGCGCTGGCCACAATGCCAGCGTTGTTGATCAGCACGTCCACCTTGCCCCATTTCTCTTCCACCGCCTTGGCCAATTCGTTCACCTGGCTCGGTTCAGCCACGTTGGTCGTATAAAAGTCGGCTGTCGCGTCCTCTCCTGTCTTGCCGCCATTGATAACGTCAGCCGTCTCCTTGACGCCTTCTGCGTTTATGTCCACGCACACCACTTTTGCACCCTCCTTGGCCAGCTGGTAGCTCATCTCTCGACCAAGTCCTCTGCCGGCGCCCGTCACCTGGTGGACCACGTTCATTAATACGTTTGTCGACAGAGATTCAATCACGAAATTTATCAAAATCACTTTTAAAAGCATGCAGTCAATTATAATGGCTACGCTTGTTCTGTAAAACCGAGCAAGTTACTTATGCGTTTTTCCCGCCAAAATTTGTACGTTTATACGTACATGCTAATGACCACTGTCCGATATAACTAATACTCATCGTAGGATTTAAAAAATATTTCACTTCCGTTTTATACTACCTACCTACGTAGGTTTAAATTACAGAAATTATGAGTTTTTGATGATAAAAAAAAATAATACATTATATTTATATAGACATATACATATATTATTAAATTATTTACATATTATTATAGTTATTGATAATTATATAAAACCATCATCAACCTCCTAAATGTTATAAAAAGTATAGAGGAGTATTTTTAGTAGAAAATAAATTATAAAACATTAAATATAATAAACTTGTCCATACGCTGCATATATTTGGATTTTAATAAGTAGGTACCTACCTAAAACATATTCAACTATCAATTACTAATTAGTATTATTTCATCATTCATATTCTATTTAAATGTTTAAAAGTAAACTTAAATAAAATATTATTGTATGTATAATTTACAGCTATAAAGTTACGAGTTACTAGTTAACATTAGATTATATTTTATATTAATTACAATTTAAAGTTGATAGTTGGGATAACATTTTAATAGTGCATATACTGTATAATGTATATCTAGTATTATCTTCCTACTATTATATTATAATATTTAATATTATTAAGTTTTGAATTTCATATACTTACGAGTACAATTTTATCTTTTAAAGATTTTTCTACTGGATATATGCTGAGAAATATTAGGTTGATAAATGCATATATTGAATGAAGGATTCCTACTACAACTTTCGTGATCATTGGTAAATAGTCCAATAGAATGTTTGAAGGTGTAGGTTCTCCTGAAAAACAAAAACATTTAAAACTTTTGTCTTTATTTAGTGTTATTATAAGACTGAAGGTTATATTTGTTGGGTTTGCCCTTGTTTATCCTTTAAGTTTTAAATGTTAAGTAGTTTGGTTCTTTTAATACAAAAATAACGATTAAGTCGGTACAGCTTATTTTGTTAGTGGTTTTGTACTTGTTTGATTGTTACGAGTATCAACTACAAATTATGTTTTATAAATTATTATGTTAACATATGTTTTCAACCAAGTGCATTTTGACAGACCAATCTAACTATATTCTGTTTAAATGTTTTTATTGTTGAAAACATATTATATTTAATATAACATATTTTTTTTTAAGAGGTACTTACTAGATTTTTTAGTTAAATTTAATAATTAGTGACGAAATTGTGTAGAATTAACCAATAATGTAAAATGCATCTATATATACGTAATACACAGATCAAAACAGACATAGCTGGTATCAAGTGATCTATAATGGTTATCGGTACTCAAACGTGATTGGATAAACATACACATCAGCTGCAAAGTGAGAGATGTGGTATGGAGGTAATGCGTACACAGAATCAAGCCGTCATATTGTGTATACCTACACATGTGTGTGTATTATTTTATTCTTTACATGTATCAGAAATGACACATATAACATAGGGTTGAGCCGGGGGAAAAGTTTTAGGACTTTTATACATGAAGGAAATCTGAATAGAGGGTTTGTTGCAATACGACTGGGGATAAAAAGACGTCCGTCTCCCCGTTAGAACTCGCAGAACGTCATCGGGCATATGCGGGCATCCGTGCCAAATAACAATATATGAATATATATTTCTCGATAACCCCATGGGAATCGTTTCTTATTCGTTTCAACGGTATTGTGAAAATAAAAATTAGAATAGTGTATTTTGAACATTTACTGGTTACTACCATATTGTATATAGTTGCAGACCAGGCCCAGAGCCGCGGTTACTGTTTGAAAATTAAAAGTTAAAGTCTCTCGGGATAGGCCTCGAGGGGGACGTACTGATGGTCTTAAATGTGTATATATACTTCCTCCTTATACGATTGGCGATCTATCTAACGGCATTGGACCCAATCCTCCGGGGTCCGACCTTTCGCAAAAAAAAAAACACCACATAATACTACGTACCTAACATTTTAAAAATAAATGAAAACTAAATTTACTTTTTCTCCCGTCGAATTGCTTATACTTAATGACTTTTATAATGTTTATATATTTATAACTTACCTACCTATGTATGTTTTCAATAATCAATACAATAGCATCACGCACTGCTATTGTACATTTAGGTACATACCAGCTATCTATTTTATCATTGGGCTAACTTTAAATGGCAATTAAAAAAAACCAATTTAAAACGATTACTATTGGCAATAAAAAACGCAGTATACTATAGTTACATTCGTAAAACAAATAGTAAAGAGTGTGTCCTAAAAGCCCGTAAACCACAGTATAGTTTACCTATAGTAAATTAATGAGAGTTTAAATAAACATAATATTACATTTATACACACCTACTATACTTACACTAAATGATTAATATAATATATAAAATAATAAATATATGAAAATTTATTGTAAAAGTTTAAAAGTACCTACTATAGTAATGTACTATAGTTCACATGAAGTAGGTATACTTAAATTAATTAAATTCTAAGGATTATACGGGAAATATTTAATAATAATAATAATAATAATAATAAAATTATCAAATAATATTTTCATGCTTAATTTTTTAACTGTTTATTTTTAAATTGCACATCGTTTATATTATTTATAGGTACCTACTTATATGCATACTAAAATTTATTAATTATATCTATATATCTCTAGATGAGTTCAAAGTGTATTGCAATTCCAATATTTTCGATATCACGTCATCGATGACTTCTATTTTCGTTTAAAATATTTTGTAATGCATTTTTAAGTCATTTTCTCTTTTTAAATATGAATATTGTAAATTAAACTAAATGTACAAAATAAATTAACGAAATACATCATCTATTAGTAAAAGTGTAGGTAAACCAATAACCGTATCATATTATTTTTTACATTATTTTCATTCGGTGTTTATTTAAATAAAAATAAAAATTATTACCTAATGAAGCATTTATTGGTATGTGTTTATTATTTTTGACGAGTACAAAATATATTATGTATAAATTATACTAATTTTATTATTAAATGTTTGGAAAACATACAGAAAGATTAACGTATATAATAAAAATATATTTGTATTTACTGCAGTTGGTACAACATAATATACCAGCTACATCCATGTTCATTAAAACTTTTTATCGTTCGATAAGTAATGTCTTGTTAAACGACTTTTATTACTAAGGTTTTAGATTTGAAGTGATGCAAAACTTTCTGGTACCTACAGTGGTATTATATACGTACATACCTATAGGGCTTTATCAACTTTTTAGATGTAGGAAATGTCAACTAGGTAGTTGCAAACTTAAACATATCATTTTTGACTTTTTCAAAACTTTTCTTAAGCTCAAAAACTATACCACAAATCAAACGAAAAAAAATGTGAACTTTATAGTACAATATTTTTAATAAAATCAATGTCAGTCTTTATTTTTGACAATTTAGAAAATAATAGTTTTGAATACATACTAGTGACTATATTAATGACTATTTTCACAACTTATAGCCATTTCGAAAATTAATAGTTTATGCATTTAAAGAAGAATATTAACGAATCGTATAATACAGACATACACCGTTATATTTATGTATTATATAACAATCATTCTGCAATTATTCAAATTATGTCATTATGTATTAGTAGGTACTACCTATTATTTAAAAATATTTTTAGAAGTAAGTGGTGTATGCGATGAGTATAATAGTTTTGTTATTTGTATTATAATTTGACTGTAGACGTATTAAAAAGTAGTAGTTATTATTTTTTTTTTTAATAGGAAAAATATTTCTAGTTTATATTCTCAGGGTAAACAAGACAACCAAAGTTAATAAACTGGTTCAACATTCAACGTTCAACAACTTTCAATAGTAGGATGCACGTAGTGCATAATAACCTACGTAGTTGTCAACATGGTTCGTTTTATAATTTGTAAATGCTTTTAATTTAGTAAAGTATTTGTACATTGAACTAAATTATTATGACTTAGATACGGGGCACAACTACACGTTTTTCACATTTCATAAAGATAGAGGTATATCTGTGCGAACTAATTAAGCAAATTGTTACCGAATTTACTTGAAGTAGTGTACAATTATAAGCTTAAACATTCATTATATAATTAATTTAATTAAAATATCAAAATTGTAAGCAGTTTGATATTTAAAAAATAGTTTATTCATATGTTAACGTTATACTATTTACTTATTGGCTATTTACCTATTTTTTACTAGCAAAATACATTTTTTTGATTTAATACACACAAACTCATAGTATAACGTTTAATTTCACCGACATTAGATAGATTTATCTACAACATTTTGATTAGGTAGTGGTTGCGTCTTGTAAATATTTAAATCTGTGTTACCTATTTAACTTTAATATCGGTAAATAAATATTTATGTCAGTATGTCACTTCTACATAGTATAATAATCTCACTATGCATTAATTGTTCTGTCATTTATGTGTAGCGATATAAAATATTGGATTTTTCCGGTTTCTCGAAACGAAGGTTAAATAACAAGCGGTAAAGTAAATCAAGTCGTATTGAAGAATTTCTGTATGAGAATAAAATGTATATTATTGTCCATGAAAAAAATTTGTTGTAAACTAATAAAAATAATATGTGGTATTGATGATGTTACTTTTTTTAATTACCTACGTTAAGACGAACAGACATCAGTCATTGTTATTGAAAAAAATATAGATTTTTAGGTAGGATAAGGATTTGAAATCCTATAATAAACGTACCTAATTACTGTGTTTTAATGTACGAGATATCACGAATAACATAATATTTTCTTTCCTTAGAATACAATAACTATCGTCGGTTTGAAAATAATAGGTACAACGATTCTGCAGGACCGAATTCAACGGTGTACCAAAATTGTATTTAAATATTAGGGCTATCTATAGTTATCTTTATTATGATGGTAAGTACCTCGGTTTAATGTTATACTAAAATAATATCTCGGTGAGTACAATAATTCTTATTGTCACACTATAGTACCATTTAAACAATATTATGACTATATGAATATGAGTATATAACATAATAATAATATATTGCTCAATATACAGCACCATAATAATATTATTATAATATAATTGTGCGCTTACCGTTTGACGAGGATCTGTTGTCGGGCCGTTGTCCTGCTTCCATTTCGATTGTTTGTTTTATCCAACAGGTTGCGATGTGTTTTTTTATCGTTACGACAATCGGTTTGAGCCACGTGCAATGTTGACGACGGTGTTTCGATGACTGAGATACGACAGCTACGGTCACAGTGAAAATGACATGATGGGCCGTTCAAGAACGTCGAGTAATACACACAAGTTATATGTGTGCCGCAGTAGTTGAATTAACCTCTGTCCTCGCGGAAGATCACCTTGGTGCATTCAGGTCTTATAACGACAGATGCCATCGGCGTGTTTTCGCTAGATTTATGGCTACATATTATAATATTATACTCCCCCGTCAAACCGGGTCGTCGGGTGTTCAGCGCGTGGGTATATAGTTGCAAAAACTTAAAACGAGTAGACGTGAAAAATATATTATCTACAACAGTATAGTTTACAACAGTGAGCTGTTAAAAATGTACGCTGTCGTTCAAATAAATAAAAACTTAGATAACGATAAAAAATCGTAAAAAAAAATAAAAAGTTAAGACTCTCAAGTAATGAATGTATATTAACACATAAATGGATCACCTTGTAGTCTATAATATATTATATTACCTATGCATATTTTTTTATTTTTTTTCATCTTTGTAAGAGATTGTGAATCATGTAACTATAATATTTAGATACCTATCATATTATATTATATATATTTATATATCTATAAATACCATTGAAAAATCGATTGAAAGCTATCATGATAATTTCATAGTTCTAATATTTTTAATATTATAATATTTAGTAACCGTAAAACACAGATCAGGAAATTGTAATATAAATTAATAACAATAGTCGTATGTTTGTTAGATCTCGCAGGACGTATCGTTTAAACTTAGAAGTATACAACTATATACATTTTACTGTAAGACAAATTCTTTTATTTATATTTTTATACTGGCATATTAAGTATAGCTATTACCATTGATTATAAATACTAATATTTACTTACTAGTTACTTTACCTTCAATGTGTGATTTGTGCCACAAGGATATTTTTTAAGTGGTTAGGTTGTGTGACGGGTAATAGTGTTTGCACTTATCTCAACGCTCAAAATTGTAAATCTTCGTGTGACACTTTGTATTTTGTAATTTCAGTATATCGTGTGTATGGTTGTATTGTAGATGTAAAATAAACGTTCCTATAGAACTTATTTTTAAATAATTAAAAACTAACATTTTCTATTAGAGTAGGTACCTAGGTAAAATTTTAATATCGTAATGCGTTTAATCTGTTAAATATTGACATACTTACTGTACATAGTTTTAGTTCGTCGTTCATCATTTTTTCTATTTCACGCTTTGCCGGTTACCTATTTTTGGTTAAATAAGTTTAATTGAATAATTTTATCAATGACTAAATTGTTATTCATACACCAAATAGTTTTGTGCGTTAATAATGTAATCACTAAACACTGCAGTATTCACATATTATGCGTGTTTGTATACACTATGATAGGTATAGTATAAGTATATACTGGCTACTGCTTCTTATACTACCTAATTTATTGAAACATTTTGTATAATGCAAAATGTAGTACCTTATACACTTTCAGTTATGAAATGTAAGAATTTAACGGTTAAATCGAATCGGTCTTTTTATCTAGTCATAACTATAATCATTAGGTAGGTACCTACATTAATTAAATTGTTTTTATTTACTAAACTAATTAAATTTATATAATATTCATTTATCATCGGCAATAACTTAGAAATTAATCATATTCTTGTAATGTTGCTAATAAAAAAAGTTTAGTACAGAGCTACATAATATTTTTTTTTTATTAGATAAAAATAGAGAATTAAAATTTGTAATATTTATATACAACAATAAGTTAATTTTATAGTAAAAAAAAATTGATGGTACATAACATGAATGGCGTGAGGAGGGAGGCCCACCAGTGAGCATACTCTCTAACTTGGGACATAATATTTATGGGTGATGAAGTTCAAATTTTGACAAAATTAAAATAACGATTTTCCCTCAATTGATTTTAGTTGTTTTATTATAATTAAAAAAATATTAATATTAGAAATTTGAAACTTTTCACTTTAATTTAAATTATAATTGTCTATACACGATGAATTCTTTTAAATAATTACACTAATTATAAGCTATTTGAAGACAATTAAAATTTTAAACATTTTAGTTTTTCTTCTTTCGTGTTGATTTTTTTGTTTTCAATAAGTTTACAAATTAAATACAAGGTTCTAATAAATTGTTCTACAACAGTTTAAAAAATATCAAAAATATATAATTTGTATAGATATCATGTATGCCCTTTTATAAGCATTTGAAGTTCAATTTTTAATCAAATTCGTCAAAATTACGAAAACGTGCAAATTATTTTGTCTGTATAGTTTATTGATTTAATTTTAAATTTTAAAAGGTTAGGCTTAAAAATTGGATACAATATTTATCATAAGTTTCTTTAAGATATACATTTAAAAGTATCAAAAATACATGGACACAATTTATTTTATACTTACATATTAAATTGTTCATAGTGACAATATTAAATAAGTACTTATAACAAAACATCCTCAAAAATATAAACCAACATGGGACAGTCTTCGTTCAGAATCATTTGTATGCAATGATTAATTATTGAATTCAAATTGAATCTATTCATTACGTAGTTAGTAACCCATTGAGTTACCAATACTCAATTAGAAACTATTTTTGGAATAATTATAAAAATATTCTTCATACCTACCGTACAACACGCGTGTCATATAATACTAAATTATGTTCAATTCGAATGGTTTGCGAAATTCTTGAATGATTTTTCCAAATGTCAGTTTCACCGTTCTGTATTGATTCGCACGTACCCGACCCATCATCGTGGATTGACCCCTTTCATAGAACGATACGTGTTCGGTACAAAACTGTTATCGAGTTTCGATCCTTTTTCGACACCAGTTTTTCCAGTGGTTCTCTCATCATGCAACGAACGCACAAAATGCCTTTCACTTCTCTCGTGTTCTATGATGGTCAGTACAACAAAGCTATAGGTACGACGTGATTAATAATATCTATACTTCTCGGCAGTCTCTAACTTGCACTAAATTATATTTTAGTTGTTATATATAGGTATTGATGTAATATGTGCGAATTTAGTTTCATTTTTTGAAGGCAAATGTTCTGTACCTACAGTTGTTATAACTAGTTGTATAAACTAGTGAAATTTAATATGCTCTTTGATGAGGCAAACGGGCTTCAAAATAAAGTCATGCATGCTGACCCAAACAATATACTCATATACCGGCCTTGATGTCATAGCCATTGGTAAATTGGTTAAAATATAAACCTACTGTTAATCAAAATATTTAATCTGCGGTTTATCCTATATAAGTACTCGTAAATAGTGGCGATACCACCGGAACTACTTAGCTATATGCGATAACTTAAGTTAACATTTATTTAAGTCTCAAGTATGAAGTTGTTTAAACGTGTCTGTATATATTATTGTAAAACTTATACAAATAAAATATTTTAAGCCTATTTACTGAAATATGACGTGATTTTTAAATTTTAATATTTATTTAAAAAACCTTTAACCATTACAGCTGTAGTCATTCAAAACGTCATATTACAATATAAGTCATAATATATTATACGACTATTCTAGATAACCACCTACACACAAGCTTATTCTATTTATTTATTTTTATACATTTAGTATTTCTACTCATTAACAAATTGTAAGTATTACATTATTTCCCAAGACCATTTATACAAAATTAGGTAGGTGCTCATAATTTAGTTAGTTAATTTTATAAGTATTTATATTACTTGGGTACTTATTAAAATTGTCATGATAAAAATGCACGATCGAGTTTTCACATTTATATGTTACATAAATGTGTTAATATGGTTAACGAGTATGTAATATAATTTCCTCATACTATTTTCATTAACCTGTGTCTATATTGGACACAACTGGAACTGAGGTGCAGTCCTGCAAAGATCACAGACATAGTATCAAATTTGGTATAATATGTAACCAGAAAATTTAGTTATGTAAACATAGCAGATAATGTTTACTGAACAGTTATAGCACCTACCTAATGTGAGTGAAATAAATATATTTTTTGTCCGATTTAAGTATATAATGTATTATTTATTAGTGTCTAAACTTTAAATATATTATATAATTTAAACTGCACAAGCGTATTTTAATAAAATTCATCAATTAATAATAATAATGATACATAATATATTATCTATCTAAGCAAAATAATATTAACTACCCAAACATGTTTTTATAAATTATAAAATGTAATGTCATTATTTCAGAACTACCACATATTTATACCAATATAGATGAAAAGAAAAAAATTATATTAAAATGTATAATTTTGCACTAACAAGTTCAGTACCTTGTTATACTTATAGCACACTATCATTTAAATAAAATAAAATGAAATAGGCCCAACAGTGTATTACAGAAGGTGACTGTTACATTTGTACCTACCCATTCAATATTTTTTAAAATATTTAAATATTAGAAACAACAGGTACTGACTAGTTAGAGTATTTAGACCAGGATCAACAAACACTACACAACTTTTGGTGTATATAAAAATAACTACATCCAAACATATAATAAAAATCCGTACTCAAATAAAAAAGTAAGCATATGATTTTTATTTACTATCTGTAATCAAAAACACGTTTAATTTTTTTTTTCAAACTGTTATTTTGCCATCATAATTTTGATAAGAAAACATTGATTGCTATATAAGCACTGAACTATATAATTTATTTCAGTGCATAAGGGCGCCAACTGTTAAATTTATTTGAGACTTTTATATTGGTTATTGAACACCTTACCTACTGCCAGTGTTACAATATTGCACTTTGTTACAATTGTACCAGTCTCCCCTACATAGCTGTAGAATCTACGAGATTTTTAACTAATATTAACTACCTACCTATATGACCTAACTAACTGATTTCGATTCAATTGACTGATTTTAAAAT